GCCCCAAGACCCATGGCACACNGTCTTTTTTGGATGGCCATGATGTTCTTGTTTTTGTTGGAGTTTTGTGACGGTTGGTAGGTGTTTGGTGTGTTGGCTCGTTGTGTATGTACATGCCTCTGCCTGTGGCTTGTGGCGTGCTGTATTGCTGTAGTACTGTATTAATGTATTCTGTAGTACTGACTTACTAAATTGCTGCATTACTGTAATACTGTATTACTGTATTACTCTATTACTCTAATACTGTATTACTGTATTACTCTATTACTCTAATACTGTATTCTGTAGTACTGTAGTACTGTAGTACTGTAGTACTGTAGTACTTTAGTACTAACTTACTGTAGTACTGTAGTACTGTAGTACTTTAGTACTAACTTACTGTAGTACTGTAGTACTGTAGTACTGACTTACTATTATCGTAAAGTACTGAACTACTGGCGTACTGTATTACTGTATTACTTTAAGAGTGTATTACTGTATTACTGAATTACTGAATTACTGAATTACTGACTTACTGAATTACTGTAGAACTAATATATTGACTTACTGTAGAACTGATATATCGACTTACTGTAGAACTGAATTACTGCAGTACTGACTTACTTACTTACTGACTTACTGACTTACTGAACTACTGAACTACTGACTTACTGAACTACTGACTTACTAAATTAGTAAATCACTGAATTACTGACTACTGTATTACTGTACTACTGAATTACTGACTTGCTGACTTACTAAATACTGTAAGATCTACTCATGAACTCGTGGCTTGGGTTTAGTTTTCTCGAGTCCTGATCGGAATGAAGACGCACTTCTTTTGTTACAAGTTGAGAGATATCAAAACGCATGAAAACTCTAGCACCTAAAACACTGCGGACTTCGCCCCAAAATGTCTCTACATCAGCCATCAGTAATCGAACACAGAAAGATGAATCTCTCCAGCTTTTGAGACGCTTTTTTTGTCACTCAAATTGCAGGGATGTTGACAGTCGGCCAAAGAAAATCAAATCACTTTTTGCTGTAACATATATATCCTACAGTACATAAACCCTCCCACTCACTTAGTAGAGCTCTTTTGAAAATCAAAACTTTCCGTGTGACTAATCTCAAGCCCTTGCTCAAGGAAAGTTCCAATCACATCAGTTGCTTCACACTGTCTGGAAGCGATGACTCACGCTCAAGGCTTGGAATGTTTTATTGTTGACAGCCCCTTCAGGCCCCAAATGTTTATTAGCAAACCAAGTTTCAGAGGTATGGCTTGTATTGGTATTTCCAGGATGGTCCCACCTGATTGAGTCTCTCACCTAAATCTTCTGACTTGCACCAGAAGTTTGAGACCGGAGTCTTCAAGCGGCCAAGACTAGATCTGCTGCATGAAGTTCTCATAGATATTAAAATGAGTCTTCGGCGTTCAAGCGTCTGATATCACACGTAGTCTCTGGTAGTAAAAGATTGGATCCCAAAGAAAACAAAGACAATCTCGACAATTCGTCAGTAGCTTTCTCTTTCTCTGTGGAAAATTAGGTGGAGCAAAGCTGCAGCTTGTCTAGCCTCCGTCTACCTGATAACGGGCTACAACGGTGACATATATTCATTGGAACACGCTTTTTTACTCAACGCTTTATCAAAGAGACGGAAAGCCAGAAACGCATCTGTGAAGACTTTTCAGCCTTCTTCATGACATGGGCCCGGAGTAGAGTCATGACATGTCCTTTCATTAATCACCTGTTCGTGTCGACATTCGCTATCATACCAATGTGCTTCCTTTTTGTCCGTCCCTTGGTCAGCTTTTCATTCCCAAAATCTCCCGCCCAATAAAACAAAAATGCAGCGTTTTGCCGAACTGGAAGACAGCACAAGCACTAGTCACAGGCAATAGGAACTGCCCCACACCCATTCCTGCAGTGGGTGGTTGATGATCTGTTCAATTAATTTTGTCATATTATTTCTATTTTTTCTATTTTTTTTTTCTTTTTCATCTTTTTTCATCTTCTTTATTTTTCCTTTAATCTTATCTTTTCAACCCATTTTTACTCAACGTTGATCTATCTGTTGGTGCAATATACCATGGCCCATGCGCGATCTGCCCTGGGCCTGTCTTCGTTCTTTGCTGAAGGCCCGAGGCTCGGCGATTGCAAAAGGTAAGAACTTTCCCAGGAACAGGTACTGATTCCAGAAAAAAACTTATCAATATCCAGTCCCAGATTGGCTGGTTCAAACAAACTATAGGCAAATCTGATTTATTTTCCCAATTTGTTCCTGTCGTGAAATTTCACCGATCACTCCCATTACCCCAGGTTTGTAGAGCGCGGCCCCGAAAAAGAAGCCGTCTGAGTGCCCCAGCTCGCCATAATTAGTACCTCAAACGCAGTCTTCTTCCTCACTAAATGACACCTGCAAATGAGTACATCGAACTTGATGACCTTGGTACAGCCAGGGGTATCTCGAAAATTTCGGGCGACAGTTTCATTGCAGGACTTGACCCTGTAAACGAGAAAAAATGGCACTCGTATACTCAGCACCAGTTGGCTGTGCTCTTACCCAAATTGGGGGTCCTGGAGTTCCAGATCCCGCTCGACTTCGATATGTTTCTGCCTCTGGTGAAATACATGATGGCAAAAGTAGACATGCTCGATTTGCTGGAAGCCATAAATATACTACGTGACGCTTTGGTGGAACACAGTGGTGACGTCAACTTTCCAACGGAGGATTTCAAGCTTATAGAGGAATTGCTCGCCACCATGCCCGCAGAAACAGAAGGCTTAAAAGCATTGAACGAAGGTGTCGGTGCCTTTTCAAAGGGCTACTCTGATGACCCAAAAATGGCAGAAACGCCGCCGGAAAACTCCACATTCTGGGCCGCCCGTGTAAAATTGGAGGCGGCGCTAATAGCATTCCACTCGCCATATCCAGAAGTGCGTGCAGTGGTGGACCCATACGATGATCCTCTGCTACCCGTAGAAACGCTCCGCGTGTATGTGATCAGTCTTTTCTGGACCTTGGTGGGCAGCATCATCAATAATTTTTTTGTGCATCGGATGCCTGGCATCACGCTCTCCACAAGCACGGTCCAGCTCTTGTTGCTTCCAAGTGGCCGGCTCTGGGAACGCGTTTTTCCTCTCGACATGACAGTTTCCGTTTTTGGCCGGAGATTCAACATGAATCCTGGACGATGGAACAGCAAGGAAATGATGCTTGCATCGATCATTTATTCGTGCTCTGCAGGCACGCCGTACGCGGTGTACAACATTTTTGTCATGAAGCTTGATCGCTTCTATGGCCTCAAATGGGTCAACTGGGTCTATCAGGTCTGTTTCACGCTTTCGACGCAATTTCTTGGTTTTGCGTTTGCCTTCATGATGCTCCGTGTTTGTGTGTACCCAAAAAAGGCCGTGTGGCCCACCATCCTCCCTGTAATTGCACTCAATAGAGCGCTTATGGAATCCGAAAGACCAGAGGTCATCAATGGATGGCGGATCTCCCGGTACGCTTTCTTTTTTGTGGTCTTCGTGGCGTCTTTCTGCTACAACTGGCTTCCATCTTTGTTTTTCACCACCCTTTCGACATTCAACTGGCCCACTTGGTTCAGACCCAACCTGGTCCATTTGAACAATATCTCGGGCACAAACTCAGGCTTGGGCTTGAATCCCTGGCCTACTTTCGATTGGAATATCTTGGACATGGCAGGCTGTTTGACCATTCCTTTTTTCACGTACGCCAACCATTTCTGCGGCATGATTCTTGCGTTTTGCACCATTTTGGCTGTTTACTACTCTAACAACAAGTGGACTGCTTACTTTCCCATCAATTCCAACCGCTTGTTTAACAACAGGGGCGACATATACGACGTGCACAAGATCTTGAACGACAATAGCGGATTTGACCAGGATAAATACTTGAAGTATGGGCCGCCATACTTTAGTGCGGCAAATTTGGTGCTTTATGGCGCCTACTTTTTCTTATACCCCTTTGCCATATTGTATCACACGGTCACAGAATGGAGCTCCATGTCTCAGAGCTTCATAAGCATATGGCACACTGTGAAAGGTGCTTTTCTGAGCGGCCACGATGAGCAGCTTCAGAGATTCTCGCACGATCCACATTGCAAAATGATGAGCAAGTACGAGGAGGTCCCCACTCTATGGTTCCTTGTGATTCTAGCACTGAGTGTCATCCTTGCAGTTTCCTGTGTGTGGTTTTATCCCGTCGAAACACCAGTATGGGGCATTTTCTTTGCAATTGCGCTCAACTTTGTCTTCTTAATCCCTATCACTTCTATCTCCTCGGTGACTGGATTCACTTTTGGCTTGAATGTGTTGGTGGAATTAATCGTGGGATATGCGATCCCAAATTCGGGCCTTGCTCTCATAACATTGAAAGCGTATGGCTACAACATTGATAGTCAAGCAAGCAACTATATAACAGACCAGAAGCTTGCTCACTATACTAAAATTCCTCCCAGATCCATTTTCCGGGGCCAGATCATCTCCACTTTTTTGACTGTGTTTGTATCATTGTTCATCGCTAACTGGCAAATCGGTAACATACCAGATATCTGTGCTGCGGACCAGAAAAACAAGCTCAAGTGCCCCGGGGCAAACACTTTTTTCTTTGCAAGTATTCAGTACGGTGAAATTGGGCCTGCCAAGGTATTTGGTGGCATTTATCCGATACTTAAATGGTGTTTTCTCTTTGGTGCTCTTCTGGTATTTCCCTTGGCATACTTGAAAAAGAAAGGTCCTTCTGACTTCATGAAGTACTTCCAGCCCACCGTGATTGTGGGTGGCTTTCTAGCATATGGGCCCTACAATCTTCTGTATTATACCGGAGGTCTTTACATGTCATTCACCTTCATGTACTATATCAAAAAAAACTACACTCTATGGTGGGAAAAGTATAACTACATTCTCACCAGCGCTCTTTCTTCCGGGGTGGCTTTCAGTGCGTTGGTAATATTCTTCGTACAGTTTCGTGGCGTTGAGTTCAAGTGGTGGGGCAATAATTTAAGTTCCATCGGAATAGAGGGACATAAAATTAAACCCTCGTGGCTTCACGCTAAAGATGCACCAGAGGGATATGTTGGACTCAGGGAAGGCTCATTTCCGTGAAATGATTTATTCTTTTCACGCAAGTGATTGTTTGATTTTCGATGCTCGAGAATTATGAATTACAACGTCCATCAATCAGATATAGTGCGTGCAAATTCACGCGATCGACATTTTCATGTTGCGGATTCTGATGCATTTTCAACTTGAGATTGGGATTTGTTTTTTCGACTTGACTGGTTTGGATCTGAGACATTTCTGTTCGGTGTGAGCACGAGTTTCCTTTGAGCTCGAGAGTGATTCGAGTTGCCATTTTGAGCTTGTTTTGAAAATTATGGTACAATTGTTTGCACGTGCACTCTTTGACCATCGTCATTACTTGGGTTAATTTGAGTGATTTTCCTAGCATGATCATTCAATTTCGTGATGTCTCTTTCACCTTCCTAAATCGCAGGCATCAAGGCTCTGTTTAGATTCATGATTCTTTCGATTGAATGAAAAGATGACCGACCCGATGACTGCCTATGCCTATGGACTAGCTTATTCTTTTCCAGGTTTTTATCCCAGTCCCCATGGTTAAGGCTACAAATAGTAACAAAAGGGATTGCACACTGCCAGCTTAATTGGTGTGCCAGAGTAGGCTTTTTCTACGGCCAATCTCAATAGAGGGACTCACAAAAACCAAACACTCATATTCTCAAAACCCAGATGCTTGAAATTCAACGGCCTTGCCGCAGCGTGCACTTCAAAACCTCACCAAAGTCTGAACTGCGAGGCAAGGGGTACATGCAAGAATAAACACTAAGCAGAATGGGTACCCAGAACCCTGCTAAAACATCAGCAGTGCATCCCTTTCAGACAAAGCTCAAACCCGATGAAAGACATCTGCTTTCTTTTTCTGTCTAGCCGTTCATGCTTCGTTTCAAAAAAAATCAATGACCCCCGCACGTGACCCGTACCTCGGTCTGCCGCAAGTAATAGACCTATCGCACAAATTCGGCAATGGATGCTGTTTGTTTCTCCATCTTCCCTTCTCCATAAAAACAGATATCCCGAAAAATGTACGTGCCTTTTCTTGGCCGGCTCTCGGTGATTGAGTGGTTCCTTCTTCTGGTCTCATTCTGGCTCTCATGGATGGAGTACGTGTCGAACATCATCACTAAGCTCCTTCCTACCCCAGTTTTGACATTGATTAGCTCCACACTCAGACTCATGTACAAGCTCATGGGTCAGAAAATCAACTTCACCACTAAAAAACTGGCGATTCTGAATGATCAGGATGTGCCGTACAAGTACGTGCTGGCCGCAGACGGCGTTGACGACAATCGGTATAAGTTGATGACGGGATTGTTGAACAGTAGAAATATTCAGGACATGTGTCTTCTCTTCGGGTACGCAGTGGAAAATAGAATCGTGAAGACTAATGACGGATATTTGTTGACCATTCAGCGGCTCACGGGCCGCAAGGATGAGGCGGGCAATTTCCGGCAACTGCCTCGGAACGGCAAGGTTGTGTATATGCATCATGGCCTCCTCATGTGCTCAGAAATCTGGGTCACGATGCTAGATCGTGAAAACAACTTGCCCTTTGTTTTGTACGACTTGGGCTACGACGTGTGGTTCGGCAACAACCGCGGTAATAAGTACTCGCAAAAACACATGACGCGGCCGCTCAATTCCGAGGCATTCTGGAACTTCTCCATCGACGAATTTGCGCTTTTCGACATCCCGGACTCCATCAACTTCATTCTCGAGGAGACGGGGAAACAGCATCTAACATACATTGGTTTCTCCCAGGGCACGGCGCAGGCGTTTGCATCTGTATCCGTGAACCCGGAACTAACAAAAAAGATCGACAAAATCATCGCCATTTCACCAGCGACCACGCCACATGGGCTATACTCAAAGTTCTTGGACATTTTGCTCAAATCGAGCCCCAAGATGCTTTTCTTGCTTTTTTCTCGGAAGGCGTTGCTCCCCTCTGTGGTCTTCTGGGGGCGCATCATGTACCCGCCTTTTTTTAACACCTCCATTGACTTGTCCAACTACTTGCTTTTCTACTGGAAGGCAGAGAATATCGACAAGATCCAGAAATTGTGCTCTTATGCACACTTGTACTCCACGACGTCGGTGAAAACGGTGGTGCACTGGTTCCAGATCATGCAGCTGAAGAACTTCCAGATGTACCACGACGCCACCTCGGGGATGAACAGCTTGAACCCCATCAGCTACCCGCTCAGCAACATCAGTATTCCCATACATCTTATTTATGGTGATTCTGATTCCTTGGTTGATATCGACGTGATGAAAAGCCAGTTGCCGGCAGAGACAACGCACACTCATAAGATTGCCAATCATGAACATCTTGATAATCTCTGGGGCCGGGACGTCTCGGAAACCGTTTTCCCACTGGTTTTGGCTGCGTTGGGCGAGACGCCAAACGGTACGATTGCAAAATTAGCAGGTTTAAAAAAAACAGTGAATGCTTAGGCTGTCTGACACAAAATTTTGATACGGCCGAGCTCATGGAAATTGAGTTCGGCATACGGCAAGCTGCTCGAGAAGAATCATCTGGGTTTTTCCAAAGGGATCACGCCTCAACTAATGAGCAAACCTTCGCGACTTTTAAAAGGGAAAAGACTATGTATCAGTGCTAGGATAGCGCAAGATTGAGCTTGCATGGAAATACTAATGTGATTCGGGGTTTCAACCCACGTAATCGTAGAGTAAATCATTGTGCAAGATAGTGTAGGCAGTCTATTTTTCTTTTTTAAAAGCTGTTTGACTCTTGCTGCCGGCGTTTCTGGGTATGGGATCGGTGAGTGTTAAATGTCAACAGTTTTCATTGATCTACATGTGTTGAGATATTTGTCAAAATCAAAGGAAAATATGTAAACCCCAAAATTCAGATACTGACATAAACACGTCGACACGGCTTGGGATGAATTTTCAAATAGTCTAGTTGCTTTTCCCCCCCTCAAAAAACGACTCACGGGGCCATGTATGGTGATCTACAATAGTTTATCATTTTGACGAATCATCACCTCGTGGCTGCAAAATAGTCGTGCGCGAATCAGATTGTGATGCACATCGACACAGCAGACGTTCCTCCATACTTTCATCCGTTCTACAAAAAACACAGAAAGCCAAAGAAACCAGCAAAAGGATGGACACTTGGCGGTATTCAATATTTCGTATTCTTTTCCATGTTGTCCAGAACGTGGGGGCAGTGTTCCGACCTAGCGTACCTGCAGACAGCCGCGGACACACAAGTTGGTTTGGGTTTCTCACCAAACCTGTTGGTCTGCTCCAGCCTACAATATATACGCCGCAGATTTCGCCCAAGAAGCGAGGACTGGAGTAGCTGGCTGACTCAAACGGTCTTATTTTGCGTCCAGGCCCCTAGCTGAGATATCTTTAATATTTCTCTGTTTCTGTCATGACTCAGATGATACCCAGCTCTCTAGCACAGGGCGATATTATGCGAGAGCTCGAAGGCTTTGGCCCGTCAGGTATGTTCCACAAAACTCACCCACTGATCCTCAAGAATCCCATAGTTGCTAACCTTCAGAATTGCGGAAAAAACTCGAGCTTGAGGTCTCGGCAATAAAATCTGCTTCGGAAACCGATCCTCTGCACGACCCAATAATGACAGAGCTCATGAAAATACAGGGCCGGTCTTTGCCGATAATACCCGGTGGCAGCCCCCCTGAAACACCCGATTTCCTGATAGAGCAGCTCTCGCTACGACTCAGAGAGTTGCTTGAGCTTGTGCTCGATCCGGCAATACCCGACGATGCCCGCATGCTCCACGAACAAGCACTCAAAGAGTTGATTTCCAAAGAGCCCACGATAGAGAAGGGAGAGAAGTCGTATCCGAATGACTACCTCTCGCGGATCTTGATTGACAACTACTCCCTCTTTCTCAAGATCTCCACACAATACTTCAATCTTTCGCTTGCGTCGCTTGTCACACGATATCTCGTCAGCCTCGTATACAGCCTAGAATGCTGGGAAATATACCATCTTTTGCACGTGGTCCCCAACCTCGAATATATTCTCAAGCTCTTAGAATTTGACATCAGCTGCACGTCTTTCGGACACATCGTGAGGCCGCCAGAAAACTTCCTCAATTTCAACTTGAGACAGGGCCTCCAATACCCGTTTCCTTTCCCGTTCTACAACTTCTCGTACCACTCGATCGACCCCAAGGCCTCCACGAAAAAGATGGACAGAATCACCATCAAGCCGTACATAGATCTTCGCTTGGATAAGCTGGAGCTCAAGGCGCCGAGCAAGACAAAGGCGAGAAAGCTCTCGGCGACACCAGCCAAGCCAACGGAGGCCGAGCTTGCTTATTTGTCGGACTCCGACTCCAGCGCCAACAGCGAGGATTTCCGCAAGTGGAAAATCTTGTACTTGTTTGTCGAAATGACACCTGAGAAAATCCAGCACGATTTTGATCTTTGCTTCGTCACGCCTACGCAGAGAGCGTACGAAGAAGAAGACTACGATTCTGACCGGGCCAAGCTCATCGAAGCCAAGGAGCAGGAGACCATCGATGCCAGCATGCCGGAACTTCCGGTCACGCCTTCCGTGTTCCAGAAAGCTTTCACCAAGGCTCATGATACCGGGCTTGTCAAACACACATTTCTCCACCAGTGCAAGCTCATGGACCCGGAATCACACAAGACGTGTTTGAAAGTCTTTTATGGAAAAAACGAGCTCCACCGGCATCAGGAGTTTGTACACGCAACGAAAAAGCGGATGTACCGCTGTGCCTACTGCCCGAAAGAAGATGCCGACGAGAAGAACAAGGTTTATCCCCGATACGACTCGCTTGCGCGGCACATCCGCCGTAAGCACGGTATTGTGGGCAGTGAGAATAAACTGGCCGTGCTCCTTGCCAGGCGTGTGGCGGAATCGGAGGACATCTTCGGCAAACTGCCAGCTTTGCCTTATGAATATGCGGAGACGGTACCGGAACTGGTGCCGGGACCCCTGGCCTCAATCACCGACACCACGGGCATCCTTATTAAGGAGAACCGATTCAAGTCGGAAGGCAATATCGTCGACTCACACCCTAAAGAATACCGCGAGATGCTTGCAAAGTCCGAACTGCACAAGAAAGCAAGAACGGCACTGGCTTCGAACGAGCCACAGAAACGCACGAGGAAGTCTGTTGGGGGAGGCTCACTGGAACACCAGGAAGTCCCTTACAACGAGTTCAAATGTCCCACGCTTCTTAGCTCGGTCAACGCAGCGGGCCCTCTCAACGCGAGGGGCCCAGCAGATGCATCGGATCTAGTCTCCGCAGCAGCTCATCAATCTGCAGCCTCGGAAAGGCCAGCTCCAGGCAGACCAGCTTTAGGAAGTCCAGCAGTTGACAGACCAGATCTAAGACATCCAGCTCCAGTAAGAACGGCTTTGGGAGGCCCAGAAGCTGAAAGACCAGCAGCTGAAAGACCAGCAGCTGAAAGACCAGCAGCTGAAAGACCAGCAGCTGAAAGACCAAGGGAAAAACTAGCAGCGGAAAGACTCGCGCCCTTAGAGAGAAAGACAGTGGACCCTGCACCGGGAATGCAGCAGGCAAGCGCCCCCTGGCTCAGAGACTCGGCCAGTGTTTTCGAGTACCGAGGGCCGCAGAAGCAAAGGGCCGGCCTGGAAATCAGCCCTAGCACCCGAGTCCCAGACGTGGCACAGTATCCCCAGCAGCTCCATTCGTATGGCGCGTATGCGTCCAACTTCACGCAGCCAATGTACACTGCGCCCGACGGAAACCTAGTCTACGGCCATGGCCCGGGCGTGCGCTTGCCGTCTCAAACGACTGCGGCCCAGTACCCATATATGCACCAGATGTACGCAGCTCAATACGCGGGCGAATACCAGGCAGCGGCCTTGGCGCAGCAAGCGCCCAACGAGGGCTCCCGGAATCCGGCAGCCAGCCCTCAAGAAAGCATGCAGTCGATGCATCAGGGAGCTGCGCAGCAGTATGCAAAAAAAGAGGATCCCCGCCACGACAATCTGCGCTGAGAATGCCGTGCCTGGCGCCTGTCGTAAAATGGGGATGCCAAAGGGCGTGGTTCATGTTTTTTTAAAACAGTCTCGTTGAGGTTACATGCTAAACCAGGCGTGCGGATGCAGCCAACACACAACTGGATTGTAGAGTCGTTGTCACCAGAGAACAAGAACCCAAAGGTTTTTGATATTCACGGGAATATCAGTTAGACAGCGTGTCTTTTGCAAGTCGTGCAATTGGTGACCGAACAGGACGAAGAAACCAACTTAGAACAAGCCTGTTCCAAAAAACAAGCAGAAAACAAATCGGAAGATATAGAAGAAGAAAACACACCCTCGAACCTGACTAAGTATTTTTTGAGTGCGTCTCATGACCAGATTTTATTCAAGGCTGGATTTTCTAAGTGGATGAGTTTTTCATTCAGTGAAGTTTATGATTTGGAATTGTGGCAGACAATCACTGCATGAGTTTTCATGATGGTTTTTGTGAGGTGTGGTTTTGGATTGTTTGGGATGATATTGGAAGAAGATATTCTTCAGGCGCAGATTTGTTTCTTGGGCCTGGTTTTTACATTTAGGAATTGAGGTTTCAGAAGTTTGTTGTTGTGCTGAATGATGCTGGGCGGGCATTAGTGATATGGGTAGGATCAGTGAGGAGATTTCTGAAGCTGATGTTTTTGGGGGGCCGGCGAGAGTTTCGAATCAAATGAGTCAGTTGGTATTTATTTCGACAAAGTTTCAGGCGAAACAAGATTGTATCAACCAAACTTTATCATCGGTCTCTTTACGTAGAGATGGAATGGGGCGTTCCCTTTCACTTTCAGCCATCTGTTTATTGACCTTGCCCTGTCAAATCTACCTGCTTCAACCTTTGTCTTTTTCTCTCCTTATCTCAATCCCTCTTAGTCTACTTCATCTTTTGTATCGTATCTCTCTGGCCTGTGAGCCTGCGCTGGTTCTGGTTTCTACCAGCCGACGTGGACTCAAAAAAACCCTTCAGACATGTGCCGAGGAACGTCGGGGCACGCAAAGAAGGGTTTAGTGGATTTGGGCAAATAATCTTCAGATCAACGGGGAATCTCACACCCATCCACCTGATCTGACAAAGTATCACACTACGTGATACCCATCAGAACAGGACGAGAATCCGTGAACTCTTTCAGTTTCAATCAAGAAACTTCAGTTTCTGTCCTGCCACTAGTTATATGCTTGTCTCGGAGATTAAACATGTTTGTCTCAAGAGCCTGTTTATTTCGGAGATTAAGCCTGGTTGTACCTGAGATTAAGCCTGGTTGTCTTTAATATTAAGCCTGGTTGTCTTTAATATTAAGCCTGTTTATTTCCGAGATTAAGCCTGCTTTTCCCTCAAATTAAACCCGTTTATCTCTAAGATTAAGTTTATTTCAAAGATGATAAGAGAAAAAACTTTGGTTTGGAGATCAATGATAAAAGATTGTTGTTATTCCTGAGGATCTCGATGGAATTGACATGAACGACGGACTTGAGAACGACGCCATGATTCCTTGGAGGCCAAAGGAGCTAAGGGGATGAATGAATTGATTAAATACTACGACTCTGGCTCTGACTTGGAAATTCCTCACTCTGACGAATACGACTCTGACATCGACGAAGAAACCCTTTTGGCCAGCTCTTCAGACCCGGACTCCGAATCCGACTCTGAGTCTGAAAATGCTTGTGAGAAATGCGTTGGTTGCGTTGAGGAATCCGAATCTGAGTCCAGCTCTTCCGAGTCCGAGTCTGGAGACGCTTATGGCGCCTGCCTGTCTCAAATTAAGCCCGCTTGTCTCAAAATTAAGCCTCTCAAAGATAAGGTCTGCTTGTCCCTCAGAAATAGTGAAGCACTACCCGGAGCTTGTTCCGTTGAGTCTAAAACGCAGGCTCCCTCACTACGTGACGTGGGCTATGGCAACATAGAAGAGTCACTCATGAAAAGTACGGAAGAGTGATGGTGTTTGCGTCTTGGAAGATATTTTGTAGCTGGAGCAAAAACAACTTCGGTGTATAATTTCTTGTATTGATAAATAACAATGGTATGACCATTTTAAGTTAGCATTTATGATTTGACCCTCACCAATAAATATATACCTACCCCAATATATCATGCTCTTTCCAAGAAATCCTCTGCCACAATGTTTGACTTGCTGCACATCTACTAAAAGATGCTGTCCTTCAGAGTGAACAAATTCCACGGCGTATCAAACTCCTTGATCTCACCCCAATCCAACACAAGAATCCGACGATAGTGCAAGATGGTCTTCAAACGGTGGGCAATACACAAAATAGTGCAGTCCTCAAATTCACGCACGAACTTTGAATCTTGCTGCCGGTCTGGTAATCCACAGAGGACGTGGCTTTGTCCAAGATCAAGGGTTTGAAACCTCTCACTAGAGCTCTGGCGAGAGAGATAGGCCGTCTCTCCTAAAACAAGTTTTCAAGGTATACCTGCCCGACCCTCAGATTACACCCGTTTATCTCTAAGATGAAGCCTGCTTGATATCAGATGAAACCTGTTTATCTCTCAGATTGAGCCAGCTTGTCTCTCAGATTAAGCCTATTTATTTCAGAAATTAAGCCTGTCTGTCTTTAAGATTAAACCTGCTTGACTCAGATCAAACCAAATTATCTCAGACATTCAGCTTCCCTGTACCTCATACTAAACCGGTTTATTTCTCAGAGTAAACCTGCTTGTCTCTCAAATCAAACCTGTTTATCTTTCAGAATACACCCGTTGATCTGTCAGATTAAACCTGCTTGTCTCCCAGGCTACCTGCTTGTCCCATAGATTATACCTGTTTATCTCTCAGAATATACCTGCTTGTCGCAAAGATTAAATCTGTTTAATTCTCAGATTAAGCCTGCTTGTCTCAGAAGAAGCCTGTCTATCTCTAAGATTAAGCCTACTTGTCCCAATATTGAATCAACCTCTCTCGAGATTAAGCCTGTTTATTTCAGATATTAAACCTGTTCGTCTCTCAGATTACACCCGTTGATCCCTCAGATTAAACCTGTTCATCTCTCAGATTAAGCCAGTCTATCTCAGACATTAAGCTTCCTTGTCTTTCATACTAAACCCGTTTATTCCTCAGATTAAATCCGTTCATCTCTAATATTAAATCCGTTTATCACTCAAATCAAGCCTGCTTGGTCCTCAAATCAAACTTGTTCATCTCTCAGATCAAACTTGTTCACCTATAGGACTAAGCATGTTTATTTCTAAGATTAAACCTGTTCATTTCTCAGATTCAGCCTGCTTGTCTCATATAAAGCCTGCTTATCTCTAAGATTAAGCCTGCTTGTTCCAATATTGAATCAGCTAGTCTCAAGATTAAACCCGTTCATCTCTAGGACTAAGCATGTTCATCTCTCAGATTAAACCAGTCTATCTCAGACATTAAGCTTGCTTATCCCTCAAATTAAACCCGTTCATCTCTAAGAACAAAATTGTTCATCTCTAAGACTAAATCCGCTATTCCTCATTTCAAGCCTGCTTGGTCCTCAAATTAAACCTGTTTATCTCTCAAAATACACCCGTTGATCTATCAAGTTAAACCTGCTTGTCTCTCAAGTTAAACCTGCTTGTCTCTCAGATTATACCTGTTTATCTCTCAGAATATACCTGCTTGTCGCAAAGATTAAATCTGTTTATTTCTCAGATTAAGCCTGCTTGTCTCATATAAAGCCTGCTTATCTCTAAGATTAAGCCCGATTGTCCCAAGATTGTCTCAAGATTAAGCCTGTGTATTTCAGATATTAAACCTGTTCGTCTCTCAGATTACACCCGTTGATCCCTCAGATTAAACCTGTTCATCTCTCAGATTAAACCAGTCTATCTCAGACATTAAGCTTCCTTATCCCTCAAATTAAACCCATTCATCTCTAAGATCAAACCAGTTCATCTCTAAGACTAAATCCGCTTATTCCTCAAATCAAACCTGCTTGTCTCTCAGATAAATACGCTTGTCTGGACCCATACATACTGCAGCAAGCCCGCCACACCGGCGTCCAGGCCTGGCCCGTTCCGAACACCGAACCAGGCCCGTCCAACCAAGAAAAGTAGACCGGACCTTGTTTCCGGGCAGCCAGCCCCGCCTGCCCAATGGCTGCAAAATGGACGTGCGCGCACCAAAACGCCGGGTGTTCTGCGAGCGCTTCCTGGCCCGTCTGCTCTTCCAGAGAAACAGAGCCAACGCAACCGCCCAGTCCGCCAGTCCGCGCCCGCCACAGCCAGCAGGGCCTCCAACTGTGCGTCTCGTCTAGCCCGGCCCGCGCCTTCCGCGGCCAGGCCGGCTTTTTTTTTGAAAACGGGGCCGCCGCTGAAGCTCCGGCAGGCGGCGCGGTCGTGCGCGGCCCAATACGGGTGGGGCGCTCTCCCATTTTGCAGTCGGTCAAACCAGAGCCAAGTCCTCACCTCCCCCCACCAACCCACGCCACACGCCCGGACGCGAGCCCACAACCACCCCGCGTGCCCGTACCCATTGCTAACACGCCCTTGCTTTTTTCCGCGGCCGAAAAAGCGCCCGTTCCGCATTTGCCCCGCCCTCCCTCATATCCCACCTCTGTCCGTGGGCATACGCCAAGGCGTCTCTAGAGAACGGCCCATACACGCCAGCGCCACCTGGTTCCGCCACAAAAACCCGCCCGAGCACCCCGGCCGCCCCGCACGCCGCCGCCGCGCCGAAAACCGCGTGCCAAAACCGCCCCCGCCGCCCCGGGCCATGAACATCATGTCGCTGATGAGCCAGTGGAGCCAGGCGTCCGACATGCCGCTGAGCGGCGGCGCCCGCTCCCAGGGCTCCGCGCCCACGTCCGCGGCAGGGTCGCAGGACCCCAAAACGGCCGCAGGCGAAACGTCCGCGGCCAGCAGCAGGCGGGCCAGCGTCCTGCCCGCGTCCCTACATGCCCAATACTTGGCGGCGCTCCCCCTGCCCCCGGCCGCCCCGGCCGCCGACACCCGCGGCTTCTCCGGGCTGTGGTTCACGCGCACGTCGCCGTATCACGAGCGCAAGACAATCCGGTTGCTCTTGAAGGGCGAGCCGCAGACGACGCGCGACTACGCCGAGCACTTGTACAAGGTGGCGTGCTTGTTGTACGACGGCGAGCTCACGTACGACCAGACCAACAAGATGGAGCGCAAGCTCGTGCTGTTGACGTCGCGGTTGCCGCAGCACATGCCCTCCGCCGACCCCGCGGCGCTGCAGCTCCACTTGGTCGTGGAGCGGTGCTTCGACGTGTTCATCAAGATGTCCATGAACCTGCGCCGCATGGAGGTGGCCACGCACTCCATCCGCTTCTTGACCTCCGTGGTCATGGCCTTGAACTACTGGCAGGTGTACAGCCTCCTCCGATGGCGGCCCGCGCTCTACCAGTTCCTCACGTTGATCGGCTTTGACTTGAACGAGTGCTACGCGCGCTTCCTCCGGGACTACCACAGCTACGCGCACGAGCAGCAGGAGCTCGACGGGGCCGCGCTCGGCAAGGCCGCGGCCGAGGCCAGCCGCAAGCGGCGCCGCGCGTCGCAGGTGCTGACGCCGGAGCACAGCGACAACGACAGCGTGTGCCTCGACGCCCCGGAACTCGCGGACCGCACGGGCGCCTCGCCGCTGCGGGACAAGGCCCCGGCCAAGAAGCGCGCGCGGCCCGACCTCAAGCAGAGCCACCGCGTGGTGGCCCGCTCGGACTTCAAGATGGCGCCGTCGAGGTCCTCCAACTACGACCCCGACGTGGTGCACGAGTGCCAGCTCCCGGCGCCGGAAGACGCCTCCAAGATGTGCTTGCGGCGCTTCTCGCGCAAGTACGAGTTGATCCGCCACCAGGAGACCGTGCACTCCAAGAAAAAGAAGTTGTTCAAGTGCTACGTGTGCGTGAAGCAGGACCCTGCCATCGGGCCGCGCATCTTCACGCGGCACGACACGTTGGCAAAGCACATCCGCGTCAACCACCGCATCTCCGGCAAGGAGGCCAAGGCGGAGGTGGCGTACTCGAAGAAGCACGCGGAGATCGTGGAGGAAGGCGACATCACCGTGCATGTCGGCCGAAGGAAGACGAAGGTGGACTTCGAGCTCCGGGCGCACATGGACAAGAGGGGCGCGGCGAGGGAAGGCCCGGACGGCGTGCTCATGTACGACGACATCGACGAGCTGGCGCCGGACTCCATCCACTCGGGCGACGAAGGGCTATATTGATTGCGGCTCAACGGGCCGCGCCCGCTTCTGAATGCTTATTATGTACTGTTGCATCTTTCGAAATACACGGAGACACTGGCTTCTCAATGTCACTTATGTACTGATGCATCGGAATACACGGAGACACTGGCTCGCTTCTGAATGTGTATTATGTACTGTTGCATCGAAGTGCTCGGAGACACTGGCTTCTCAATGTCAATTATGTACTGATGCATCGGAATACACGGAGACACTGGCTCGCTTCTGAATGTGTATTATGTACTGTTGCATCGAAGTGCACGAAGACACTGCCCCTCCTCCTTCCGGTCAGTGCTGGATGGACCGCTCGAACTGCTGCTGCTCGAGAACCGCCCTCTTGACGGCCCCGTCCTCGATGCAGTCGAGCACGTCGCGCGGCACGTTGGCCAACCCCGTCGCCGTCCGGCGCACGTTGGGGTGGAAGAACCGGACCGTGCAGTCGAACGAGCGGTCGTCCGCTGCGCCGCGGAGCTTGGCGAGCTGCGCCCGCCGCGGCTGGCTCGCGGCCGGGTAGAAGTTGAAGCCGCTGTAGGTGTCCTTGACGCCGCGCAGCCACGCCTGCGCCCTCGCGTCGGCTAGCTGCTTGTTGTAGTCGACGGTCTGCTGCGCCACCTGGTACATCCACGTGGCGTCCGTCTGGTAGTTGATCAACGCAGAGCCCGTGACCTGCGCCAGGTACGCGTTGTGGTCGGCCGCGTTGTAGCTGGGCACCTTCACCGCGGCCTCCTCCGGGTCCGCCGGGTCGCCCTCGACGTCGCCGCGGTCGCGCGCCTTCTGCTCCCAGAAGTCGTCCGTGACCTTCTTGCCGCCCACAAGCATGCGCGCGCCGAACTCGCGGAAGATCGAGCGCGCCGTCACGAGGTTGACCGCGCGGCCCTTGTACGACGTGGGGATCAACTGGCGGTTGATCAAGTCCATCTTCTCGTCGTGCGTGCACACCTTCTTGAAGAGCGTCAAGTGCGTCTTGAACAACAAGTACGAGTCGCGGAAGCCCACCAAGCGCGCGGGCTCGGTCGACACCATGTACTGGCGCTCGCCCTTGCCGAGAAGCGTGAACGTCTTGATGCGGAACGTGCGGCCGCCCTGCAAGAAGCCGAGCTCGTCGATCTTCGCGCGGCCCTGCGGGTCCTCGTCCTCGAGCACCACCTCGTCGTTCTGGACGTTGATCTCGTTGCCCTTGTCGTCGAAAATCACGTCCTCCGGCCGCGGGATCTTGGGCTTGCGGCCTCTCTTCTTGCCCTTCTTGCGGCCCGGCCCGGCCTTGTCGCCGTCCGCGGGCCCGGCCTTGGCGCGGTCGCCGTCCTCGTCCTCGCCGGCGGTGTCCAGCTTGCCGCCGGCTTTTCCGGCCTCGCCGCCCGCGTCCTCGGGCTCCTGCGTGGCGGCCTTTCTCTTGCGCCCACGCTTCTTTTTCGGCGGCTGCGCGTCCTCGCCGGCGTCCTCGCCGGCGTCCTCCTCGGCGTCGCCTTCCTCATCTAGCTCGTCGTCGTCCTCGTCCTTGATTGCCGTGTCCTCGAATTCCTCGTTGTACTCGTCGTCCTCGCCCTCGGGGTCCAAGTCAAGGCCGGCCAAGGTCGGCCGCTGCGCACGTGACTGCCGGGGCGAGCGCACGGCGCCGGGGGCGTCCTGCTCTATATCCAGGCTCTGCGACATGGTGGGGGTGCTGGCCGGTGTGGGGTTTTGAGGGTGGTTTTGTGGTGGTTTCGGGGGGTTCCGGGCGGGTTTGTGGTGGTTTTGGGCGCGTTTCGTGTGGGTTTGGTGCTGCTGTTTGGCGTGTCCTGGGCGGGGCGGGTGTGTTTTTGGTGCTTTGGCTCTGGACAGCTGGGCGCGCGCTGGGCGCGGCGGTGTGTGCAGGCCGCGGACTGGGCCTGGTGCTTTCATGCTGGTGCTTTCATGCTGGTGGCTTCATGCTGGTGGTTTCATGCTGTGGTTTCATGCTGTGGTTTCATGCTGGTGGTTTGGGATTGGACCTTTCTGGTCCGGCCGCTGTGTCGTTGTGGTTTCGTCGCCACAGCCCTTCAAAGAATTTGCCCAATGCCCAATTTCCGCGGGAATCCGGTGGACATTGACATTGTGTTCTCTATTATTTTCGTAGTTTTGAATGTACTACCTGAGAGAGCTATTGACGCATTTTTCAAATCTTCACTTTGGTGCGGTGGTCAAATGCACAATGATACTTATTCGTACAGTTTGATGAGGACCATTGAGTCAATGTATTGTTTTTATAATAGACGAAAGAAAAAAACTGTGTGATGATGTCACAGGTAAGTGCAACAGCTGCAGACAGTTTCATAGGGTCGGAACCGTGCGGCCCCTTTCCGCTCCTCGGTTTACGTATTTTAGGAGTACTTTAAACATCAATTGTAGTGGTACGTGTTTATGATCGGGCGTTTATTTGAAAGAAGCACTACTATATTGTCTACCATTTTGGATAGCCACAAAGACGAAACCCTAGTGATTTTGAGCCCGTTCGGAGTGCACTTATTCAATCCTCTACTAAGCATTGTACAGGAAGGCCAAGATATTCAGATGGACAATATACAATTCTCTTCATTCCTGGTTGTCTCAAACCTTGTTTGTGTATTTGGTGATGTCAAAGCTTTGATACTTGGATTAATTTGGGCGCAATATTCCATTTGTAAAGTTGTTATATACTGACTGTAAAGCACTGTACTGTACTGTTCTGTTCTGTGGTGTATCATGTTGTTTTGCATTAAATTGTATCACATTATATTATACCACATTCTGTTATATCATATTGGAATATAATATACATCAAGATAATGCTAGCATGCTTAAAACATACGGACCGCTCTTGATCGAGCCTTGGCCTAAAGCGTACAGCTACAAGCTGGCAGTGCAGTCAATCTTGTGCCCTTTTAATCCTGATCCCAGCATTGCTATGAATTCTTTTGAAAGTCTCACCTACGTGTCGGCCTGCCGGGCTTCACTTAGCGCTGTGAGGCTTTTCTGTTTTGCTTGCGTAATACGTCTCTCTCACCATCATTTGCTGTAGTAGCCTTGCTCCATGGCCTGTAAAAGCCTTTTGTTTCCTTCATATGCGCGTGATTTTCAATAAGCGTGATTTTCAATAAGCGTGATTTTCAATAAGCGTGATTTTCAATAAGCGTGGTTTTCAATAAGCGTGGTTTTCAATAAGCGTGGTTTTCAATAAGCGTGGTTTTCCAAGAAGCGTAATTTTGTTTTCTATATGAGCGTGGCTCTGTTTATACGGGCGTGGGTCATTTCTAATAAGCGTGGTTCTGTTTATATGAACATGGTTTTTTTCTAAAAGCGTGGTTCTTTTTATATGGGCGTGGTTCTTCCCCTTATTAACATGCCATTTCGTGTTTTAATGCATATCAACTGCTCCAGAAAGTTCATAAAAAACTTTCCTCTATTAAATGTGGCTTTTCCATCACTTCAAGTAAGACCAGATGAACAGTTTATATTATCAGGAAATCATACTGTATAGCTAACTATACCAGTAAATTAGGCAAACCGACGTTACACCATTTTCATATTACCAGGCCTTTATCGAATTATATGCAGCAATTCAAAACTAAAAATCCCTTACAATTCTTTTTAGATTAAATCTTAAGCCGGAGAGGGCTATCATATACGCGAAACTTCCCCGGGAGAGCTACACGGCGACTTTTATATTTTTTCCATCAATTTTATTTACATAATTTTCACACCTTAAGATATCCTGACAAAGTGACTAATAGATATGAAAAAATCAGACCCGGACAGATTATTATAATCTATGGCTGCTGGATCTATTACACATTCTCCAAGGCGGGAATTCAGATCCGTAAATTTGGAGAACTATACAATTGTTTACCGTTTAGTTTTACTACGGGCATATTAAATCAACACTCAAATGTATCATGAGGCATTATTAATTCATCAAGGTTAATAAATATAAAAAATAATCAACTCACAACTCATGATAGTCGGGAATTCATGATTTTGAGTATTTTATAATAAGGGTATTCACGAAATGAAAGTATACAAAAACCTATACAAGCGTGGATCTCTTCTACATGACACGCTTCCATTAGATCATGGTACTCTTTTCTATGACAGGTTCCATATGGCATGTGTAAGCGTGGCACTTTTCCACATCAGCACAGCCCACGAGCATCGCTATGACCCCCTGGCCTCGGCTTCATTTGTTTTCACCGCTTAAACACTTGTTGTATCCTCCTCTTTTCAGTGAATCTTCGGTGCCCTACAGTCCGTCAATATCCAATATTACTAAATCAATAAGAATAGCTACTCATTCTAAGTATAGTAGCTGTTATATCAAAACTAATTGTCATAATAATTATACGGTAAATCTGGGCATTTCCCGTTGCTACTGGGTGGTTTTCGCTGGCCCAAAGCCGTCCCGTGTCCCTTTACCCTTGCTCATGCCTCTTGTGGTTGTGCCTTAAACACCTAAAAGGCCGAGGGTCGACAACCCCACCCCAATCCTGCAATCTCTACATCCATTCCTCTTGATTTGCTTGGTCATTAATCTTGGGTCTATGTACACGGTTGTCGGCTTGGCTACTCGCTCTGCTCCTTCTTGTCCTCGACAACATCCTCATTCTTGAAGGCGTCCTTGCCGTCGAGGTACTTGTCAAACGCATCGTTGGTTTCGGGGAATGGTCTCTTTCCCAACAAGCGAATCATGTCCTCGCGCGTGATAAACTCCTTCTTCAACAATTCCTGCGCAACGAGTTCCACCGCGTCGGACTTCTCGGTCAACAAGGCCTTGCACTTGTCGCGGCAGTCAGTCACAATTCTCTTGACCTCCTCATCAATGACGTTGTTGGTCTCGTCACTGAACGGCTTGGTCAACGAGTCTTGGCCCTGGGTGTCTGCGTAATTGACCATGCCCACTTTCGGCGACATGCCGAACCTCATCACCATGGACTGGGCAATGTTGGTGACCTTCTTGAAGTCGTCGTATGCACCACTGGTCACGGACGAGAAGTTGATCTCCTCCGACACTCTCCCGCCCAAAGTCATGATCATGCGGTCGTAGAGTTGGGCGGCGCTCATGAGGTACTGGTCAGGAGGCAAGTACTGAGCATAGCCCAAGGCGCCTTGGCCACGTGGAATGATCGATACCTTGAGCAACGGGTGTGCATGTCTCAAGAACCAGCCACACACGGCGTGGCCTGCTTCGTGGTAGGCAACAATCTTCTTTTCCTCGGGAGAAAGCAACTTGGACTTCTTCTCGATACCACCAATCACCCTCTCGATAGCCAACTCAAAGTGCCTCAAAGAAACCGACTTGGCGTTGAATCGCGCGGCAATGAGTGCTGCCTCGTTACAGACGTTTGCAATGTCCGCGCCGGAAAAGCCGGGCGTCAACGCGGCCAAGCGGCCCGACAAGTCTTTGTCGATCGAGTCAATCAACTTGATTTTCTTCAAGTGCACGTCGAATATCTCCTTTCTTCCTTGCAACTCGGGGTTGTCGATGGAAATGTGCCGGTCGAATCTTCCAGGCCTCATCAAGGCCTTGTCCAAAATGTCCGCTCTGTTGGTACCAGCCAAGACCACCACGTGGTCCGACGTGTCAAACCCGTCCATCTCCACCAACAACTGGTTCAACGTCGTTTCACGCTCGTCATTGGCGCCGCTGGCATTGCCCTTGGATCTTTGTTTTCCAATGGCATCGATCTCGTCCACGAAAACAATCAGCGGTGCGTTCTCACGTGCCGTCTTGAAAAGATCACGCACACGCGAGGCACCCACTCCCACAAACATTTCAACAAACTCAGAGCCAGACACGGAGTAGAAGGGCACCCCTGCCTCGCCGGCAGTGGCCTTTGCGATGAGCGTTTTACCCGTGCCCGGGGGACCAGACAAGATGGCTCCTCTAGGAATCTTGGCACCGAGCTTCTCGTATTTGCCAGGGTTCTGCAAGAACTTGACAAACTCCATGACTTCGTCCTTGGCCTCGTTCATGCCGGCAACGTCCTTGAACTTGACCTTAATGTCCTTTTCCTGGTTGAACTTTTTGGCGGTGGATTTGCCGAATCCGAGCGGGCCGCCCATGCCGCCCATACCTGCCTTTTTGGTCATGTAGTAGATGGCGCCGAGGAACAAGAGCGTCGGAATGAAGTTGACCAATACCTTGGCGGTGCTTCCCTCAGACACGTATACGACAGGCAACCTCAATTCGTCGGGGAACTTGTACTCGTCTTGCACGGCCCGCAAGTTGCGCTCGAAGGACTCCACGTTTCCGATGGTGAAGTAGAATTCTCTGGCATTAGCGTGGGCGGAGCGGCCCATGTCGTTCAACTCAAGAATGGCAGTCTTGTTGTTGACCACGCGGATTTTCTTCACGAGATTCTTGCGCAAGAAGTCTGCGGTGAACTCCTGGAACGTGATTTGGTTTTTATTCTCCTGGTTGCTCCACACCATGAAGAGCAAAAGACCACCCACCGCGCCCATCACGAATAGGCGCGCTTGTTGGCCGGTGAACTCTATGTCAAAAAACTTGACGTTGTCGTCTTTCTTTGGCGATTGCTTTTTGGCCCTGGAAGAACGGGGCTTCTCGGAGGGTTCGGACTTCTCGGAGGGTTCGGACTTCTCGGAGGGTTCGGACTTCTCGGAGCTTTGGGCGTTCTTAGTGGTTCCAGAGTTGTCTGAGATCTGTTCCGCGGTTTCGGACTTCCCCGAGACTTCCGGTTTTTTGGACTGTTCAGACTTCTCGAGTATTTCTGGTTCTTCCTTCGCTGCCAAGATCGCCGAGGACGGGTCGGTTGGGTTTACCTTGACTTGACTTTCATATTCCAAGTTTTCCATTGCATGCAAAGTCTTCTTCCATAAATGCACCACCTCATAGCCGTACTTCTCCACGCACATTTCGTAGTTATCATCCCCGAATGCTGCATCGAAGATTTCACGCATGCCATGCTCTGTGAACTTGAACTCCAATGCAGACGTATTTGATTTTGCAATGTTGAAGCAGAGAGCGAAAAAGTGTTCCACCTGCTCGCCTGTGATGGGCTCCAAGTCGGGAAACTGGCGGGCAAAATCTGCTGCCACGGTTTCCTGTAGACTTTCTTCGAAAACACGGCTTTTGCAATACTTGTCGTACTCGGCCAAAAAGCGGTCTTGCAAGAAAGTAAAGGTTTTGTTGTATTGCCGAGCTCCCTCCAAAGTGGGACCGTTTTTTGTGATCATATAGGGATCTCCATGAACGTCAATAATAAGCTGCCCACGCGTCCTCAAAGCGACTATCTCTCCGAATTTCTTCTTCTTCTCGATTTCATCGGCGTTGAGTGGCGGCTGAGCTTTAAGAAGAATTCTCGACGTATGAAACAGTCTTGCTGGAAGAATAGGGCGCAGGTGGAAAGCCACGGGTCGGGCATATGCCAACCGCCGGGCTGCCACACGAAACTTCAAGATTCTCGCCGTACGCATGCCTTATGTAAAAAAAACTCCTCGTTGTGTGTTGATTTTTTTGGGGGTGGTTGAATCCGTGACAGAGAGAGGAAGTGGCGAACCTTTAGATTTCGGTCGAGGTGCACCAGACAGGAAAATGCCGAAGCAGTGCGCAAGTTGCGGGCCCTGGGCTAATATATGAGAGGGCCATTTTCACAGTTGGTTCGAATCAACTAAAGGATAAGCTAGGAGAATATGAATCGGCAGAGACGTGTACTTTTGGTGGAAAAAGATTTTCTTCATAGGGCCTGAATAGTTCACCCTGTGAAGTTAAAGAAGTTTTGGGACTTTCTGGGGCTGAATGTTTGAAAGCGCTCTCTTCGCATGATCATCAATGTCAATTTTTGTGTTCAACCAAATAAATTGGGCAATAAAGAAAACGACTGCAATGAGACACAGGCGTCCAAGAAAAGAAGCGTTTGCTAACCGGCCACAGTGATGTTTTACAGGTTATCCAACAGTGTGCTGTATATCGTGCCCTTGTTGAAGAATAGAAGTATGTGTGCTTCGCACAACCGAAAACATCTCCGGATGGGAAAAAGGCTAGTGTATGCCTCTGATTTCTGGGAGAAACTTCAATGGAAGCAATGGAAGGGCAATCTTCGCTTGTTATCTCGCCAAAGCTAGAAACTCCCTCGGAGAATTATTATTGAATATCTTGCAAAAAGATTGCAGCACCACAATTTCGCATATGGTCTCCCACTACACTACTCAGTGTGGCCCTATGCAGCTTAACTAACGTTGATCGGACGGGAAACAGTGCTTCCTGCATGGTATGGCCGCAACCGAATTATTGCTTTGAAGGTAATTCAAATTATTAACAGCAAGTTGTTTTTTGTAAATTCAAGAAATTGAAGACCTTATTCTTGACATCATTTGTTAACCTTGATTCCCCAAATTCAAGAGAATGAGACGCTGCCGACTGTTATGGAAGGAATTCAAGGAAGGAGTCCGCTACAATCATCTGAGTTGAAGAGACTACTACAGGAGACCTATCCTAGGAGTCGATGACGTAATATCCAATACGTAAACAGACACGGGCCATTAGAGGAGGACCGTCCAGGCTGTGACTAACGGAAGGGGACGGGCTGAGCTGAGACACTTGGTACGTAGCTGGGAGCTGTTCAAAGGCTTTATATATATATTATTTATATAGTTTGCCCCTTTAATCAGATGAATCTACCAAAAAAAAAGAACAAAACAAACAAGAATGATTGGTGCATGAGATCTCACCGCCATCCATCTATTCAATCACGGCTCCTATTTTCTCTTTCATGATGATGAGTTTGGGGAGTCACGATTCGGAAAGTATTTGAAATAGTGCTATAGCGATCAGAAGTGAACCCACCGGTGAGTGTGAGATTGGGTATTTCTGGTAAAGAAAAATCGGCTTTCAAGCTCCAATGCACTTAAAAGAAACGCTGGATTCTTTATATACATCCTTGACGATTTATGGAACCTTCATTGGTCTATTTAAGTCGTTCGCAGGGTTTATTTGCCTAGGGGAAAAGATAAATGAACGTCTTGTCGCCTTGTCAAATGAACTATGGTTAGGAAAACATATCCTACAGGACGATGTAATTTAGTTAATTCATTCAAGCGGTTGACATCGATTATGGATAAAGGTCTATTTACATATCTTTTGCGGGGGATTTCGTGAGCTAGTGCTCGTGCCTCCTCACCTGAGCCAATACTGCAATCTATTATAGTTTGTTCTTCATATTTTGTCGTTAATGGTGAGCTTTCCTCCAGTGACACCCTGTTATATGATGTCTCTTTGAAAGAAAAAAATTGCATTCTTTGCAGCTCTAGCAAAAGAAATAGAAATGACTAGGAAAGATATTTGTTTTATTATGCGGTTTTGCTTTGGAGATGGTTATGAATCTTCACGTTGTCCCACATAGGTTCGCGGTGTGTTCATCCTACTCTCAAGACCGAGATAGAGGATTGTTAATATTTTAAAGATTTGAGTGGCCGATTTCTGCAAACTAGGTCACTTTTCCAAGCAATTAGGGAGATCATAGCATGCAAGCCAAAAAACACCTGTGTGTATTTTTATACGAGTCCCACTGATGTACTAAAATCTGTCTGTGTGATGATTATGAGCCGCGTGTGAACATCCTTACAAGAGGTAAATGAGTAAAGTGACTAGTGCAAACGAAAATAAAGCCCAACTCCCCAACATCCTATTCAGTGTAGAAAAATTCAGCATTGTTAGCGTCAAATTAAAAGTCTTCTTTTCGAAAAGAAAATAAGACACTGTCTTGTCAACAACATATCAGCATTGCTACCAATCTGACGTAAAGTTTGAATTCATTTCGCAACAGCTTTGGTAAAAACCTGAAACTTTTTGAAGGGCTTGTATTCAGATTACATGATAGCATCATTGGTCGGCAAGCTCTTGCGTGATAGTCATGTTTGAGTGAGCAAGACACTAAAGTACTCAGTATAGTGACCATCGAGACGAAAACTATAGATGTTTTTCACACAGAAGCTTCGTGCCGAATGATACTAAATCCCTCGTAGACTTTGAATGGCGTCACCAAATTTTTTCATTTGAAAACTGAGAAAAACTCTTGTGTACTTCATTATAGATTCTTAGTCTGGGGTGTGTAGTCTCGGAGTCTCAGACAATAGGTTGCGAAATTGTTGCATTTTGAACCTGCGCGTAGTATCTCACAAGGCTCATACCCAGCATTCCATGCGGTGCACTTCCGGTGCACTTCTTTCAACAGAATAGAGAAAGGGCTATACTTCTCAAGCATGGGTATGACCTGATGCAATTAGCTAGAATCAGATTTCACAGCCCGCAAGAATAGGAACAAATGTCGGGGAGTTTCCCCAGTTCTTGTATTTATATTTAATCGCAGAACCCCTGCAAAGCAAGAATATGCTTGCACCACCATGTCAGCTTGTGATATTTTGTACGTGCAGAACTCGAAACATTAGTCCAAGAAAGGAGCCAGGTTGCACTCCATGTCTTTTCAAAAATCATTGAAACCCCCGAGGACGTGTGCCCCAGAATAGTCACGTGCCCTGTCATGAATGATAGTCACAGGTAAATAGGCCCGGGCAGCAAACATGATGCATTTGGGTGACTTCTTCGTGTCTGAACTCTTCACATTACAATTTCGGCTCTCTGGCACTTTTTCGCTGTTGCTCCTCTTGATTTCCAGATCTCTCTGATGTACCGACCCTGCGCCTCAGCTCCGCACGTGACCTGCCAGCATCCTGCCAACACTGACTTCTGCACACACAAAAAGACATCCGGTGACAGGCACACGAACCCTGCGTCCTGCCACCAGACTGACCGGACTTTCAGCCCGCGCTCCCCGAGCTGTGCCAACCCACGGCCCGGACTCTAAACCCAGTGTCCTGCACACAGACGCACACAGCGTTCCGGGCCTTCCGCGCATCGGTCTAATATAGATCTTAAGTCTGGGGCTACCTGGAATGCCAATTCCACCACCAAGAAGTAGCGTATTTCGATGAGTAAAAGTCCCACGCCACCACCGGAGGTACTGCACAGGGAGCCCGGAGACAGTCCCCGGTGTGCTCCCGAGACCAGGCCTGCAGAAGATGACTTTGCCGTGCGTGAGCTCCATTATACGGACCTGGATCTCCAGGCATATTCTGGCGCCGCCAACAACGCCAACATTGAGCGGCACTATACCAAGGAGGACGCCGAGTCGCTCGTGGGTGGACAGGAGGTTTCTGTGGGCGATGGAACGACCGAAAACGGCCACTCCAGCGCGGCACACGGGCACGAGTTTTTTGGGCAGAAGGTGTTTCTGTTCTCGCTTCCTTTTGGCGGGCTCTCTTCGATTCGGCTGGGGCTCAAGTTGCCGTTTGTGCACAGAGACGAGGACCCCGAAATCGAGGATCTCCGGCTCCGCTTGGAACGGCAGCAATCGGTCACCACGGTGGACGAGGCCCGTTTTTTCTCGTCACAGAAGGGCACGGACGACGTGCGGTTCCGTGCAATGAAGCAGCTGATCAAAGAAAACATCTCGGACTTCTTGCCCGAGTTTATCGTCAAGAACAAAAAGCCCTACGAGGCAGTTTATAGCGAGATCTCGGGTCCCATCGTGGTGTTGGGCGGGTACCGGGGCCTGATTCTCCGCGAAACCGCCACGGGCAAGCGTGCGTGGGTGCCCTTAAAGGCAGGGCTCAACTTGCGCAAAATCAGGCTTCTTTTGGGCCCGCTGCCGGAGGACGAGTTGCGGGCTACCGACCTCATTTACCCGGACGGCATCTTGAAGAACATTGGGCCCTTCGACATCTGCAAGCGGTTCCTCAAAAAGCTCGACAACGGCAAGACGACCATCACGGAGTTTGGCTACGACTGGCGGCTCAGCCTCGACATCACCAGCCCGCAGTTGGTGGACTGTCTAGACAAAATTTACAAGGACACGGGCAGCAAGCCCATCGTCATTGCACATTCCATGGGCGGGCTTGTGGCACATGGCGCCATGCAGCAGCGGCCCGACTTGTTCCGCGGGCTTGTCTACGTGGGTGTTCCCAGCGAGTGCTTCAATATCTTGGGGCCCCTTCGGTACGGCGATCTGGTGATGTTCTCCGACCGCATCTTGACGTTCGAGACCAACTTCATGATGCGCTCGTCGTTTGCATTTCTTCCGATGTCGGGCCGCGTGTTTTCCAATGCGGACACGGGCGAGCTGTACGACTTGGACTACTTTGACCCGGAGACCTGGGTGGAGTACAACTTGAACCCGCTTGTTTCGTCTGCACGCAGGGCACACGAGCTGGGGACAAAGGAAGCCAGCCCGGGGCTCACGCTGATAGAAACCGTGGTGGCCGAACACCATCCGGTAGAGGAAATGCTGGCCCTGTCATCGCCCATCGGCTCCATCGGCTCTCGCATCAAGCAGATCCAAACGGGCATCAACCGTAAAGGCAAGATCACGTTGCTCACCAACCTGCAGATGCAGAAGCGGCACAAGACCGGGCGGCTCAATCCGGCTAGCCCGGTTGACGAGCTCATGGAGGACAAGTTCTCTTTCTCGTTCTCCGAGGCCTACAACTACTTGAGCGACACTTTGGCCCGCGCCAAGAAATTCCTCATGGGGCTCGAGTACGACGGCCGTTTGGCGCAGAAATACCCGCCGCTTGCGGTTGTGTATGGCGACAAGGTGCCGTCTGTCCGCGGCTCGTATGTGAAAAGCCGCCAGGACATCAAGGATGGAAACTACTATCATTTCTACTACGGGCACGGCGACGGCGTGGTGCACCAGAAGTGGTTGATGCCCGAAAACAAGGGCTTTGAAATGCACGACCCGGAGACGGGCAAGGGCCACATCGTGGGCAAGTTTTCTTCAAGTGCAGGCCACGTGAATTTGATGAGCGACTTCGAGGCCATGGCGGGTGCGCTTAGCGCCATCATGGTGGCTGAGAAGAACTGGCATAAGTAGAGCTGGATTCCTCTTGCTGACTGGCAGATTTGTATATAGGGCTGGCCAGGCAAGAGCGGGTGCATATTTATACATCGACATGGGCTATGCTGCTAGTAGAGAGTGAGGGACAGATCTGGGCATGAAACTCGAGCGAGCGTTTACTGGCTTCCTGTTCCAGATGCACTTGGTCCGAGACATGCTTGTGATTTCTGTATATCTATGGACGCCATTCTGAGAACACACACGCTCGGGGCCTGTCTTTTTGCGTGCCCTTCACCTTTCAGCTACTGTGTCCTGGATGGTTTGCCGCAAATGACCCTTGGTCTAATCCTCCCCGCTTACGGTTAGCGAGGGCCGATGGTGTACGTGGCACTGTTCAGGAAAATCACGAAATGCAAGCATTTTAATCTGAATGACCACGGGATCATAACCACTCGAACTCTGCGATTATCTTTCTCATCAAATCGCAATATCTTGCGTAGTACGTATCATCTTCTCCAAAGAACCATCAACTCCTTCCTTGAAGAATGACAGAGTGATAATAGATTGACCGTTTCATGCGGCCAAGATCAGGTCAGGCCCCTGGATCTTATTGGCGAGGTCAGACCAACACACATTGATCACCCCATGAGCAAATCGTTGTGCTCCCAAAACATGTGGTTTTCATCCGGGCCAATGCCTCTCTCTAATACTTGGCCGTTTTTAGTTCTGGCCATTGGGAAATCGAAGAAGAAAAAGAGCCGCAGCAAGAAAATCCACCCCATAACCTTCGATTGCTCGATCACTCGATGGCCCGATTCCTAGATTGCACTATTCCTGAATGACTATATTCCTCGATTCGTCTATTCCATAAGTGCCCTATTCTTCAGTTGCCTCTTCATACAGCACGGTGATCCACAAGCTGCAGGCCAGGCATGGCGCCACAATCTGGTAGCCGCCCGTGCCATCAGCAGTGCCTCGCTCCAAGTCGGATTCAGTAAGAAGAATGGAACCAAGAGACGTGCACCGTGGACAGTCTCTGGTCCACTGGTATTCGTCTGTATTGGGCACGTGTGTCTCGGTGAACTCGGCAAGCGTGTGGAAGTCCAAACCTGCACCCGTGATGTTAAAGCCTTGCTTCTTGAAAGCAGTCTTCAACTCATCGTCATAAGCGTGCCGTTGCAGGTCGTCTGCCAAAACCGCATATGCTGCCTGGAGCTCAGCGATAGTAGAGCCGGCATCTGCGGCGAGGAGCGGGGCCGGGATTCCCCGGGATTTGTCCGGGTGTGCCCGGAGCAAGAGCTGGTGGTAGGCGGTGCGGATGCACTTGGCTGATGCGTCCGAAGGCACGCCCAAAACCTCGTAGTGTGTTTTCTCCATGGGCCACAAGAGCATTGAGAACGATGCGCCGCTTCGGGTAAGAATGCCTCTGGCGCAGAGTGCTTGCGTGCATATACGCAGCGGCCGCTGCGTGCGCCTAAAGACGCTTTTTGGTGCGATGAGTAGGAAAAACTTGAGTGCTCGCTCAACAGAGTAGCTTCGACCCTGCACCGCTCGGAAACACACACAAAACCATGGGCAAGTCGCAGACTAAAACGTCGGAGTTGAAGGTCGCCGCGGCCAATGACACGCCCTCGTACGTGGTGGGCTCCTTCTTCAACGGAATGCAGATCCCGCAGGACTCGCTGTTCGAACTCTATCAGCACAAGCACGATAGCCATCGGTACGTCTTGCATGGCGAAAACTCGACTTTGGAGTACAACGGCGACTCGGGCGAGGCACGTGACAGCAACGACTACGTGGTGGCGCTCTACGACCCAAAAAGCAAGTCCGTGGAGCTTTTCAAGGCGCCCATGATCCAGTCGCACGTGACGTCTTTGGAGCACCGGGTGCACAAGGGCCCCCGGGTCAAGCTGCGTGGCCAGATGAACTACATACAGAGAAACGCGTTGGGCGAGGCGTTCGGTACCAAGAAGGCCAAGGCCGCGATCGTCAACTTGCAGAAAAACAAGATCGATGCCGACAAGTTGCAGGACGTTGAGATGGACATCATCGACAATGTCGCCGAGATCACGGCCATCATGCCCTCGCGCGAGCAGATGCTGCTGGAGGGGTCTGTGGACAGGCCTATCCCCCAAGCCAACGAAAACGCCACGGCCGTGGAGGACATTTTCCCGCTAGATGCGATAATACCGAAGGCGGAGAGAACGGCCATCCGTGTCAATGCGTTGATGGAGGAGGAGTCCGCGGACACGCGGCTCGAGCTCATGCCCTATGCGAAATCGGCGTTTGTGGCCAAGAACCTCGACAAGTTCGTCTCCTTGGGCAACACCAAGAGGCTCCAGATGTTGTACTACGCGTCCTTGTTGTTTGGCGTGTACAACAACCGCCGGGTCCGCGACAAAACCACGCTCATGGAGAAATTGGGCAACAAGCCCGCGGAGGTCTTGGTGGACGGCGTGTTGGAGCGCTTTGCCGTGGCCAAACGCACCTCGTCATCGTTTGCCAAGTCCAAGGATCGGTCGTTCGTCATCGATCCGTTCCACGAGGACAAGTTGCTTTGTCACCTCTTGGCACTTCTCTTCCACCTCAACGGCTTTCTCTTGGAGTTGCTTCCTTTGGCACACGAGTTGAACATGAAGCCCACACGGATCACAGGGTTGTTCCGTGCCATGGGAGCCACCATCAAGCCCGTGGGCGTGGGCTTGGCACTGGAGTTGGGGCTCTCCAAAAAGGACGCGGCCACCTACAAGGTTGCTGTGTTGAAGGTGCCGTTCAAGTTGCCAGAGATGTTAAGAAAGGGCGCCAGAAAGTAATTGCATATAGAGAAAATACACCGACGAGAAGACGGGCCGCGTGCTGCTTATTGTGCCGATAAAATAGGGCGTATCTGGGTAAGTGGAGCTCACAGACGGTCGGGTTTTTGGGGGCCGCTGTGTATGGGTCATTCGGATGTGCCTATCTTGCGGCACTGTCTATTCCTGGAGGCCCAGTCATAGAAATGGGCTAATTCTGGCATTTGACGTCTGTTTATCAGGAAGCCATTTTTAAAACGGAGCTATGCCTTTATGTTCGAGCGTACGATGTACTGTCGTGCTCAAAGACTCTTCCAACACCGGGAGCTGCTGCATGAAAACGTGAAATCAAAAGTACGATCAGTGGCTTATAGCCATGACAAAGAAGACATGCTAGTGACCTCCGTTTGTTTATTCTTAAATTGAATAGGTTGGATGGGTGGTCAAATACTCACCTTGAACGGGTTGCCCATACAATCTTGGAGAAAAAAGGATCGGATAAGATAGACGGAAACTGGCTCGCATGTCGGTAAAGGTGTTTCAAGAATGGAGACTGAAAAATCCATGAATATGTCTAAAGAGACTCTAACTTGTTTCAATCTTAGGAACACTTTGGCTTCTTTAATAATTGCTCGTTAATGTATTGGGGTCCGAGCATACCAAAACTCAGGAGCTCTGGGAAAGCTTGGATTTTTGAAGCTCTACAGATGTATGCTGAGTAGCTTGACATTTATGAAGCCTTATGGGTGCTTCTTTAGGACTACAATGATCATGTGGAAATCCAGCCGCTCTAGGAAACCACGAATTGGACAACGCACCCCATTACAACAATAGGAAGACAACAGAGTGTGTATTTCTTCAAAAGTAAAACAGCTTCACAAAGTCAAATTGACATTACTCGTGGTGTGAAAGGATGATCCAACATTGTTTTAATAATTCATCTGATTGAAAGAGCAAGTCTATACGAATAAAAACCTTCAAACAGCTCTCAGTTCCATATCAAGTGTCGAAACTCGGCCCGTCCCCTTCCGATATCACGGTCTGCCTCCTGGACCGTATCTGTTTACGTATTGGATATTTCGTCATCGCTTTCTTGGATAAGTCTCCTGTAGTAGTTGCTTCAACTCGAATGGTTGAAGCGGACTTAAGGATCCAACTTCCTGCGACTCGCCACGCCTTCGAGTGTATCAATTTAATTTTGTTAAGTTCTCCAAAGAGTTGTCGGTCAGGGCCCGAGCAACAAGTTAAGATTGCAATCTGAGCTCTGCAAATGCAAACGACGCAACAACTAAACGAAAAACTCCCTAGGCCAGACTTAAAAAACGAGCTATAGCCCAGAAAGAATCCTTTTTGACAAATTCACCCATGGACAGTCTCAGACATCGTGACTTCGTGGCCAAGTTGGCTAAGGCGTAAGACTGTTAATCTTAAGATCGTGAGTTCGACCCTCACCGAGGTCGTCTTTTTTATGCTGACTCACTTTTTATATGCTCGCGTCTTCCTGAGTAAATGTTGCAATCTATTATGGGTTTTGTGTTTGTGGTTTTTTGGTAATGTTAGGATCTTACACCCAATTAGTCACAGACTCTAATACGATGTTTTTTTCAGAACAAAAAACCCCAGTTGATTAGCATCGTTCTATAATCGGGGTCTGCCCGTGCGCGTTGCATGCAGACAGCTAGTGCTAATATAAAACATCCATCGCCATGGACTCACATCGGGGTAGCATTCTCTGACGAAACATAAAAACAACTAGTTTCCTTTCTTTTACCACGAAAAATGTCACCCTCAGCAACAGAGCTCAGTGAGCATCTCGAGAAATTGAGCAACTGTGAAGTCCAGATGGCCGAGGCCGAAAAACAATGTGAGATTTTCCACGCCAAAACAACACAGGGTATTTTCAGCAAGAGAAGGGCCATCACGCAGAACATCCCGCAGTTCTGGTATATTGTGCTAGCCCAGTGTGATGATTTCGCCGAGTACGTGCGGCCCGAGGACTTGAAGTACATGGAGCTGATCTCCGATATCTATGTACATCGAGATGTAGTGGACTCTGACGACGTAGATAACTATAGAGATTTTTCAATCACTTTCCAGTTTTCCGGCAGCGAGGGAGATGCACTGGTGCCACAGCAGACGGTGACCAAGAAGTTCACATTTTCCAAGAAGGATGGCCAGGAACTCATGGTTTCTCAGCCAGTGACAGTGGAATGGCCCCAGGAGCTCCAGGATATTAGCCCAGCCAAGATCCGCAGTGAGAAGCTGGGCGAGTACACCCCAGAACAACGCAAAAAGTACCGCCAAGGCATGCGGTCGTTTTTTGCGTGGTTCGAATGGACGGGCAAAAAACCAGGCAAGGAATTCCGGGGTGGCGAGGATTTGGCACAGCTCATCACGGACGAGATTTTCCCAGGCGCGGTCAACTTGTACGTGGAGGCCATGAACTCCGAGCAAGACAGCGATGTAGATTCTTCGGAGGGCGAGGAGTTAGATGTGAGTGATGATGACGATGACGATGACGAGCCTGAGCAGAAGAAACAAAAAGTATGAGTGGGGGAGAATCTGGTCTGCTTTCCATGCAGATACTCTCGTCGGAAGAAACGAAGACCTGACTCTCTATGTAAGGGAGTCGCTGTGAAAAGTTAGAATAGTTTTGTCGATCGATGAGATGAAATGTGGAGGCTTTGGGCAACCATACGCGTTCACTCAGGGTTTTTTGATTTGCTCAGTTGGCGGCTGTTTTGCTTGTTGATATTAGTATTGGGCCTTTGCATATAGACGTGATATGCGACGAAAGACGACGGCCCGGTGGTCTTTATTTTACAGATCTAATGAACCAACAAAAACATTGAGTCACATATTTTTATGTTTACAGTCCACGGTGCCAGAGATACAAGATTGGGAGCATTGCAATGTTTCGAAGCATTATCGGAAGGAGTAAAAGGCGATTGGATTGGGTCCGCATCGTTGGGAGCTCTCGATACGTTGCTTATGAACAGCAGTGTAGTTTTAGTAGTGTGAAAGTATGATTCGCGTGACCATTAAAACCAAAAAAGGTGGCCGATGTCAGTTTCTTTTTACTGCCATTTATGAGACTTATAAATTAAACTGTTGTTTCTATTCAGCAATTATTTTTCAGAAACTTTATCACTATGACGATTATTGCTTTCTTGTTTGCTCGTTTGCATACTGGGAAACGGTGGGGAAATGGATAAACATGATCGGATATAATTTAGTGACTCACCAAGTATATAGGACGCAGAACATCCCTTGATAGTTCGTAGATTCCATTCAAATCGTACAGCCTGCTCTGTCAGAAGAATGTTAGTCTAGCCGTTAATCTATGAGCATTGAATCAGCTTCTCCTGTTTCAGATTCATCTCGAAAAGATGTACAGAAAATATTCCAATCCGTCTTCCGATTTTTGTTCTGAACCCATTCGTATATTCAGGGAAATGAGTCTTTTACTGAGGCGTGTGTATTGTTTAACTCCTTAAAGAAGGCTTATAAATACTCAAGGGCGGCATAAGCTGTCTATTCTCATGTACTGCCCTGGTTTTATGGCCAAAACTCGATGTCACAACTTCAAACAAAGACAGCATAAATTCATTCAGTATTAGCATGGAACATTGAGAGACGAGCTAGCTTGAGTTTAATCGTGGCTCTAAGAAGTTAGGCAAATTTCCTTGCCCGGATATATTTTCTGTTTGGGGAGATTACATGCATGAGGCGAGCAAATAAGGGCCAATAGAATCTTGGAGATATGAATCTAATTGGAACCAGCACCCTGAGCTATCCATCGCGTTGGAAACGATTGTTTTCCGTAAGAATTTTTTTTTCTGGAATCCTCTACAATAGTCCCTAGTATTGAATTATCAAAGACACGATATGATCTTATTTGAAGTACTCACACCTTAAACATGGCGCTCAAGCCTCGCGAACTACAGCATATACCAAGAATTCCATAAACTTGTTATGGGTTGATAAGTTATGATAAAAGATAATATTCTGTAACCTCTTAAAATTGAGCAGCAAAACAAGAAGCCAGCCCGGGTTCGTATGCTTGTAATCTTGTATTTTTCTTTCACTTAGAATCACTTTTCCCCGGAAGCAACACGGCTTTATACAGCGACAGGTAAATTAAGCGCTTGTACTTTACTCACTATCATACACACGAGCCAAGACTTTAGTACTTCGGGAAATTATAACTGCTCGTATCAGAATACACCTGTACTGTTGGTTTTGGGGTTGAGGTATAAAAGCCATATCGTTTTGACACGATGACTTTGAAGACCACAAGGATTGCAGCGATAAATAATTAACTCAAAATGAAGATGAACATGTGGTTGACCACGTCCTATGAGGACTACCCTGTCTTGTTTAAGAACTTAACAGCCTCAAATGGAGGACAGGCGTTTGGAATATTTTTGTTGTGCTTTGTTGCATCATTTGTCACGAAGGGATTTGATTTCGTCAGGAACTACCTTGAGGCCAAGGTTTGGAAAAACCCCAACTACCAATATCCTCAGCTGGTGAAAATTATTGAACAATGCGAATGTGATGAGAATGAGAAGACATCTGATGCAGAAGAGGGTCACACTTCAGCTGGTATACAAAAGGTGTCTTTTCTTACTTCTCTGGTTAAAGACTTCATCAGGCTTTTACTTGCATTTTTGGCCGAAATGTTTGCATATGCCATGATGTTGGTGGCAATGACTTTCAGCGTGGTGTACTTTTTTGCCATCGTGCTTGGAATGGCGTTTGGTCGCATCTTTTTTGAGAAATTGAGCGAGCGGATGAATATCACGGGGTCCAGCAGTTTGAAGAGCCACTGTTCTCCATAAGGTGCTAGAAATCCGGAGTATGAAGCATACTCGTTCGTAATGGATGGTTATCTTAGTCGGAGGAGCGTAAAGTTTTCTTTGGTTCGATGAATGTTGGCGATTCACTGTCTCCTATTATTCTGTGTATTTAGTTTGCAAGTCGTAATAAATTGACACGTATGGCTTTACTTTGTGAGTGAATCACCTATTTAGCTTGCCGGATGTAGCGAATTTGAGAAGACACTAGTGATGCTCTTTCACTATTACGAAGGGGTGTGTTGAGTGTCTATTTCTGATTATATTTATCAAACCCTTCCGGGATGCCTATTTAGATTTGATGGCGAAGCAGAAGAGCTGCTATATACCACTACCTCATCACCTAACAGAAATAGAGTAAAACGCTTACGCGCCTATTATTCTTTTCCTTGGATATCTTTAAAAGACTTCCTTTTTTGTTTTGTTTGTGTAAACAGACAACATTCACAATTTGTTGCAACAGAATAACACAGGTATAGGCCAGAAAAGACGTGTATTTGTTACCCAGATATCGAAAGACTTTCTTGAATATCTAGCGTCCGTCAGTTGGGTAAATAATGATTTACTAAATCTTTTCTATAATCTTTATATCAGGCTCTGGGTGTCGAAAATCAAGAGGGGCCCGGACTCTCGCATACTATGCGAGGTGGATGAATGCCAAAAAATAAGAGTATTTGTCTGTGAAGGCTGAAAGTAACACTAGGTGGTTTCAACAATTGATGGGCAACGAAGTAATCTGACCTCATGTAAATCCAAAATTGGGCCATTTCTACGGAATCTAGAGACCCGCGTTAGGGCCATGACATGTTAGTTCATTCCATGGGGCTAATAGTTCAAAGTCTCAAGCGATTTTATTAATAATTATTTCACAATGTTGAGGATTAAATGGGACTATCATTCAAAAATTGACCTCCTTTGGACTGCCACGCTAAGGTTTTCGTTGCAATCCAAGATGGCGCAAACGGGCATAGATGCTGTGTAATCAAGCAGTTAGGAATTTCTTAAAGGCTCCAGCTCATCAATCTATCGCAGCAAACACACGATCGTTCAACGCAGCTTGTATCCAGCCAACACGTCCCCTGTTGAAGTCTACCCTGCATTGAAACAATAGGCCTATCCAGAGCCTTGGTCAAGTTGGAGACAGTCCTAGTATGCGTATACCGGGCATATCTTGGTATATCATCAAAAGGTGGTGGAAACACGTGAACGGACAGTACTATGGAAAGGACCGCGTCGGTGGGGCTTAGCTTATGGGGACGTAAGAATATATTAAGATGTAGATCTATGAAAAGGACTTTTCCTCAAAGAAGGAAGAAAAGATAATTGGGTCATCTATCTCAACATCCCCAATTGGAGTCAATATGCAGCCAAACCCCATATAGCCCAAACAGATTCAGCCCATTGCTTTTCTTGCTCGGTGTTTCTGAAATTTTGGAGACAAATTTTGGGACTGAACTCAAAACTTGAGTGCCAGCCAAAGGCTTTCCACAATAAAACACCGGATGTTGTATTAGCAAACGCGCAACACCCGCTCTTATCTGGAAAGAGTAAGCGAGGCTAATTTTCTTCAAGGCATATTGTACTTAAAAGTGCAAACATCGCTCGTGCCATTCCCTTGGAATTCAATGAAGCACAACAACTTATTACTAGCAATAAGCATAGGCCAAAGATTACAACGGCCGAAATCTTAGCACCTGGACATATAAAGGTACGTCAAGAGGGGCCATGGACTGGATGGGATCTTCCCCCGCTCTTGGCTCCGAGCCGAGTGACATCCATATTTATGCTTCCATATATAATATTTTGTATAGTCTTCCATATATAGTGTTTTGTATAGTCTTCCATATATAATATTTTGTATATTCTTCCATCTATGTAATATACATAGTTCCATGTGTACTTTGCACAGATAATATACCTGATGTAGTACCATCTCGCCACCGCGACATCAAGCCGCGCATAGAATGGTGTGATCGCGAATCTCACATTCGCCATTAGGCCTTCCTTTGACCCCGCCAAACACGCCCTTTCTCGCCGTTTCTCGGCCTTTTTTCTCGCAGATCAAACAGAAACACACCCGGAAATGCGCTCCTTTCTGCGGTTGCTCTCAGCTGCGGCCAGGCCCGTGCTCCAGGACGTGGTCATCGTAGGCGGCGGCCCGGCAGGCCTTTCTCTCATGGCGGCATTGAAAAACAGCCCCAAAACACAGCACCTTCTGTGCACGTTGGTGGAGGGCCTGGACTTGCTGGCGGCACGTGACTTCGTGGCGCTGCCGCCCGAGGCCTTCAGCAACCGGATCGTGTCGCTCACGCCCAAATCCGTCCAGTTCATGAAGGAAAAGTCCGGCAGCTGGCCCTTTTTGCAGGAGGCCCGCGTGCAGTTTTACGACAACATGATCGCGTACGACTCGCAGGACGCGGCCGCCCGGATCCACTTTGATTCCAGCACGTTGCGCGGCGCCGGAGACGCGGACGGCGGCGATTTGGACATGTCCTCGGCAATCGCCGCCATGTGCGAGGTGGTGCACATCCAGGGCTCGCTCCTCGGCAAGCTTGACGAGCTCAAGGAGGAGTTTGGCGACGAGGACGACGGCTTGCGCATAGTGGACCGGGCCAAGGTCGTGGACATCACGCAGAGCGCCGAAAACGCCGGCTTGGACTGGCCCGTCGTCACGCTCGACTCGGGCGAGCAGCTCCAGGCCCGGCTCCTTGTCGGCGCCGACGGGCAGAACTCGCCCGTGCGCAAGTACGCGGACATCGCGTCGCGTGGCTGGAGCTACGAGCGCTTCGGCGTGGTGGGCACCGTGAAGCTCCAGTTCGAAGACTACCGCGCGGTGGCCTGGCAGCGGTTCTTGACCACGGGCCCGTTGGCCATCTTGCCCTTGCCCGGGGACAACGCCACGTTCGTGTGGTCGACCACCCCGGAGCTCGCCGCCATCTTGCAGCAGACGGACCCGGAGATCTTCCCCCACTTGCTCAACGCGGCCATGACCTTGGACGAGGTCGACTTGAACTACCTCTACGGCGTGTTAAAGGCGGACCCGGCCGACACGCGCGTCATCCAGGACATTGCGTGGCGCACCCTGAAGATGCTGGAGGCAGACTTGGACGAGAACTTCCCGGTGCCCATCCGTGCGCTTGTGCCGGGCAGCAGGGCCAGGTTCCCGTTGAAAATGCTCCAGGCAGACGCGTACATGGCGCCGCGCGTGGCCTTGGTGGGCGACGCCGCACACACCGTGCACCCGTTGGCCGGCCAGGGCCTCAACATGGGCCAGCTGGACGTGGCGGCGCTTGTGCAGGCGTTGGAGACGGGCGTCGACCGCGGGCTTGACATCGGGTCCACGCTCGTGCTCGAGAAGTACAATGCGGACGCGTGGCCCGCCAACCACATGCTCATGGGCGTGTGCGACAAGTTGCACAAGGTGTTCTCCACGGACTTCGGGCCCTTGGTGTTTTTGCGTGGCACGGGCTTGAAGACGCTCAATGCGTTTGACTCCGTCAAGCAGTTGATGATCAAGAGTATCAGCGGACGCTGATTGTACATAGAAGAAGCGCCGGGCCGGGCCGAGGGGACAAATGCTTCGTCCGCGGCTGCAGCAACCTCAAGCAATGCAAAGAAGGGCATGTGCACGAGTAGATGTCCGAGTATCCAAAACCCTGTAGCCAGTGGCGTGGAGACAGCCCATGCTTCCTATGCCAGGGCATTACCCCGGATTTCGCACACGGCAGGTTTCTGCGAGCAACAGAAAGCCAACCGCGCCACGCGCGTCCGCCCGCATCGGCACGCTTCGGCACGTCACCTGACGACTTTGCTGAGAAGCTTTTCAAAGACAGCAATCCGCCAAAACGCCGCAGATCCGCCAAAACACCGCAGATCCGCCAAAACACCGCAGATCCGCCAAAACACCGCAGATCCGTCATCCTCGGCCCACCAAAATGCCCCTGCCACTGCACGTGCGGGTGCTCGCGTCGTTCCTGGCGCTATATCTATGGGACTTCAAGTTCCGCAGCCCCAGCAGCTCGTGCAATCGTGCGCTCGAACAGAAACATTCGCTGCATGATGAGACGGTTCTCATCACCGACAAATTCCGCAGCTTGCGCGACGACTACAGGCCGCCAAAATACCCCATTGTCTTGTGCCACGGGCTCTCGGGCTTCGACACAATGACGCTCCTCCAGTTCCCGGAAATACGGGCGTTCCCGGGCAGCAAAAAACCCGAGCACGACTTGGAGAAAGTCGCGGAGGAAGTCAACCCCAGCTCGTCCATCATGGTCAACTATTGGCACGGGATCGAGGACGCGTTGACGAAGGCGGGTGCCAAAGTGATCACGGCGAAGGTGCCCCCTTTCGGCACCATAGCCGACCGTGCTGCGCTGTTGGACGCGCTTCTCCGGGAGAAGCTCAGGGACCTCCCCACCGACTCTGCCGACGGCCGCGTCAAGGTCAACATGGTGGGCCACTCCATGGGAGGGCTTGATTCGCGGTACTTGATATCGAAACTCCAGGGCCCCGAGTCGCCGTATCGCGTGGTCAGCCTCACCACGATCAGCACGCCGCACCGGGGGTCGGAGGTAGCGGACTTCGTGATGAGCTACGTGGAAAAAGACCAGATTCTCCAGGCAATGTGCCCGAAGGCCATTCCGCAGTTGACCACGTCGTTCATGGCGGGTTTCAATGAGACCGTGCGCGACGACCCCAGCGTGGCGTATTTCTCGTACGGGGCCCAGATGCGTCCGGACGGGCTCCGCTTGTTCCGGGCCACGTACGAGATCTTGAAGTGGGAAATCACCCGCAAGGGCGGCCTGCGTGTAGACAACGACGGCATGGTCAGCGTGGCGCTGGCGAAGTGGGGGAAGTATGTGGGCACTTTGGACGACGTGGACCACTTGGACTTGATCAACTGGACCAACCGCATGAAGGCCACTGTGGACCAGGCGATGTTCCAGCAGCCGCCGGCTTTCAACCCGATCGCATTGTACTTGGACATTGCCGATATGCTCAGCCGCCATGGGTTCTGAGGGGCTTTCATTAGACCGGACAGTGGCAGATCCAGCGGGGGGTCGGCGGCATGGCCTGACGCGCTTGGCTGCGCGAACCGCTGTTTGAATACTATGCATGTTTTGCACTTTGCATGTTTTTGCACTTTGATGTTTTTGCACTTTGCGTGTTTTGGCACTTTGGATGTTTTGGCACTTGGCGTGTTCTTCCACTTTGAATGTTTTGGCCCTTTGGGTGTTTGGTACTATGCATGTTTTGGCACTTTGGATGTTTTGGCACTTGGCGTGTTCTTCCACTTTGAATGTTTTGGACTTCGGATGTTTGGTACTTTGCATGTTTTGCACTTTGCATGTTTTGCACTTTGCATGTTTTGGCACTTTGGATGTTTTGGCACTTTGCATCTTTTGCACTTTGCATGTTTTGTCACTTTGCATGTTTTGCACTTTGCATGTTTTGCACTTTGCATGTTTTGGCACTTTGGATGTTTCGCACTTTGCATGTTTTGTCACTGGGATATTTAAGCACTTGGCATGTTCCTTGGAGGCGGTGTGGTTTGCAGAAACGAGTCTTTGGACATATGTCCTGACCTGTGCCGCTCGGGACTTCTCGTTTTGGCAGGTACATGTCGCCGGGCAGAGTGGTGAAATGTGGTATTCTCATGGGCCCGGGTCGAAATTCACCCTTTTGAGGCCGTTTCCAAGAGCGTATGGGCTGGGTGCTCAGCGCAGTGTATTTGGTCCTGTTCGGAATTGCATTCGGTACGGCCCTCTTCAAGGTACAACGCGTATGGACTGTTTCAGAGACACACTATATACGGCCCTGTCCCAAGATAGCCTTTAGCTCTGTACCATGGCGCAGCCTATTTGGACCTGATTATAGGTCATCGTTTGCAATGAGCCTCCGGTCACAGAGCAGTGCCGTCGGTTTTCTGGAAGCACTCACGGGTGACGCAGACCTAAGGCCTCTCCTGGAAAAGAAAAGACCATGGCTCGTGCCGCAGTCGGGCTTGGCAACAAGCAGACCCCGCCGCAGACAGAACGCCGCCGCAAGCAGAAACGTACCCAAAAAGGGCCCGCCGCAAGCAGAAACGTACCCAAAAAGGGCCCGTCTTAAGCAGAAACATACCCGAAACAAGACCCCGCCTTGAGCAGAAACCTACCCGGCCACGGTGATGGCCTTGGTATAGCGGAACTCCTCGATCCCCCACACACTGTTGAAGCGGCCGCTGCCGCTTTCCTTGACGGCGCCGTGGGGAACCGTCGGCTCGTCGTGGACCGTGGACCCGTTGATGTGCACGCCGCCAAAGTCCAACTGGCTGGCCACAGCCACCGCGGCCATCACGTCCGAGCTCCACACCGACGCCTTGAGCCCGTGCGGCTGGTCGTTGATGTGCTCCACCACGGCCGGCACGGAGGCGAACTTCTCCACCGAGAGCACGGGCCCGAAACTCTCCTCGGCCGCCAAGCGCATGTCGCCGGCCACGCCCGTGAGAATGACGGGCGAGCAGTTGGAGGGGCCGTGCCCAGGCAGCCCCCCATGCAAGACCCGGGCACCTTTGGCCACGGCGTCCGCCACCAACGCATGGACGCCACGTGCGGCCCCGGCGTCCCGCTGGTTCAAGCGGAGGTCCGTGTTCTCGGCGCAGAGCCTCGCGGCCTCGGCCTGCAAAACACGCACGAACTCGTCGCACACGTGCTCGTCCACATACACGGTGTCCAAGCACATGCACACCTGGCCCTTGTGAAGCCAGGCACTGGAAAGCGCGTCCGCCGCCGCTTTCGGCAAGTCCGCGTCGCGGCAGACCACCGACACGTTCTTGCCGCCGAGCTCCAAGAGCGCCGGCTTGAGATTGTGCGCGGCCACCGCCGCCACTTGTCTCCCCACGGCCGTGGACCCGGTGAAGTTGACCTTCTTGATGCGGCGGTTTTGGAGGAGGCTCTCCACCACCGCCGCGTTGTCCTGGGCACGCACCTGCACTAGCTGCAAGGCCTGGGCATCCACGCCGGCCTGCAACAAATGCTGCACCAATAGATAGGGCGGAAGCGGGGCTTTTTCCAGGGACTTGAGCACCACCGAGCAGCCCGCGGCCAACGGCGCCAAGACCGCACGTGCCCAAAGAATGGCGGGCGCATTCCACGCAGCCACCGCCAAAACGGGTCCCATGGGTGTCTGGCGCGTGTAGGCCAATTGTGCCGCCGCCAGCTGCAACACCACGCCGTCCGGATTGGTGATCTGCAGCGCATACTCCCTGCAGCCGGCCACGGCGCCGGCCACCCCCAAACGGGCAAACCCCGCCGGCCCGCCGATCTCGCGGTGTGCCTCCACGTACAAATCCGCGTGTTTCTCGATGATGGCGGCGGCGGCAAATAGAATCTGCCTGCGCTCGTCGGCAGGGCGGGCGGCCCACTTCAAGAACCCGACTTGTGCCTCCTCGCAGATGCGGGAAACATGGCCCGGCGCGTTCTCAAGTGCCGAGTAGTGGTGCACGATTTCGCCGGTATGAGAAAAGACGGGAATCGATAGGCCGGTCCGGACCGGCTTGCCACTGAGAACACACGGTACGCACGACACGTGCCGCTTGGAGATTCTGCCGAAGCGCGGGGCAGAAGACATGGGCCTGGACTACGTTGCTATGTACCTATGGACTACGGTGACCGCTGGCGCAGCGGCTGATGGAGATCACAAGTAGAGTGGGTCACGTGACGGCCGTGTGCCGGATGTGCGTCGTTATCGGGCCGTCGTGCGTTCGCGCTCGTGCTCCGCGAGAGACGTGCGGCGAGCTTGGTGTTGTATGCAGTCTAACGACTAGAACCCGCAGCTGCGGCATGAGGACTTCCAGCCTGACATCCACCCTGTGCTGCCTTCCGCAGAGAGTTCTTTTGGGCCGATTGGCTGAATCATGCGGTGAAGACTTCTGCGCTGCCGGGATTAGAATTGCCTACTATTCTCCAGACGTTGAAATCTTAAGCTTCGACGGGGAGGCTCCTATTAGTTGATGTGTAAGTATTGAGTTGCTCCCGACGTCGGTTGATCTCCATAATGATGTTGGTAATCAATTTTCAAAGCAAGAAGATTTCATACATCAACCAGCCTGCGGTAAGAAACAGTGCTGGGCGTTTTACTGCAGCGTCACATAGAGAACAACCCTTCTGATTATAAAGCTCTGATTAAAGATAATATGAGTTGACATTCTTGCTTTTTTCCATTTCTTGTAAAAGCCTTGGACGCGCTCTGCTACACTATGGTCTGGAATACTTACCTTGAAGCTGTTTTGAGTGAGCTCACAGACATTCAAGTCTGATGGTTTCGTGGCATGGCAGCTATCGCTGGCCCTGTAGTTCTGTTGCCAGTGAAAACCGGAACTTCCATCATTATGGCATTCGAGAGATGGTAGAAACATGGAAGAAAAACCTACGGGCTATGCTGGTCTGCTCTCTGTCGTGGGAACTCGACAGGAAAACGCAAGTACTTTACCGAAGCTTCCACGTTCATTAGCTCGAAATATATATACATTCACCTAAGTTTTGAAGAAAGCTTTGCCAAAGATGGGTCAAGTATTTCTGGGCTGTTGAAGCGAAGCCAAAAATACACTCTCACCTTTTTTAGTAGATTAGCCTGCGATATTTGCGTCAAAAATCATGCTCAATGCCAATCATGACAGCTAGCGCCTATGAAATGACGGTTATAGATACCTAGGCTTAGTAACCCTCCAGTTCACATCGGCATTTCTTGTTACTTGCGTGTTTTACTTGGACAATATTACAAGCGGCAATATTGAAGTTATTAAATTACATTTATGAACCTCTTTTCCTTGATGTAAGTCATGGATTTAGACCTAAGACATCTGAAAAATCAGCATTAGGTACATTGAATAGATGTGGTGGACCTTATGCTTGAGCTATACAGGGAGATATTTATAAATTCTTTAATAACATACCTCATCAATTAATCCCAAGTTTATTAAGGAGAATAATTGATGATGTTCATTTTATAAAGTTAATAGAAAGACTACTAAAAGCTGGTTATATAGATCCTATAAGTGGTAGAATAGTTAAAACGGACATAGGAACACCTCAAGGTGGTAAGATTTAATGGTCATTTTCCTCCATTATCTATTTCAATGCGTTTGGCTGGTGTAAAATTGATCTTAATTCTTCAATAAAATTATCTAATACTTCATGTGATATACCATATAACGTAGTCGTATTAATACCTGGTGTCATCATATCTGGTTTACTACTTCTTAACTTATCATAAGCGATTAAACATATCTCTTTATTTAACATAAAATTGTTATATACCATCCTATCTATAATCCTTTCTGGATTGGATGTACTAAATTCATATAAATCATTAAGCCTTTCAAGTACCTTTAGATTCTTTCCTCTAATGCTAATACGCTTTTCTGTATACTTCTATTAGATGTATTTCATGATGACAATATCAAAATAATACCGATCAAGGTTAGGAAAGCGTTCTCATGCGTGTTGATTTAAGCAGATTTAATGCAATTAACGGGTTCACTATTTTCAGGATC